TTCCTTTCTGCCTTCCGGACTATACCACACCATGCCAGGTAAAGTTTAAGCACCACTTTTTGTTACTGAAGATCATTTGCTCCATTACTGGAAGGGAACGTATAACTGTGCCGGGAAAAGCACTAACCAGCCCTATTTTCACACTCGTCAGATGGTTTAGGGTCTAAATACTTCTTTCCCCATTTGGCTGAAAGGCTTTAGTAGATAACGCCATTATCTAGTCTGCATTACATACTGCAGACCCCACAGTATCTGACTAACACAGTTCTCAAAATAGGAATCAGCTAATGCTGCATCTTACCTTTTTTATTTGATCCTCTTTTAGCTTTGTGAAATGGAAAGCTAGCAAGTGGACAGCAAACATTTTCTTGAAGCAGATGGATGAGTCAGTAGTGACAGAGCTGTTGTGAGTAACTCCAAAGCGACAGGTCTTTATTCAAAAAGCTGGAGCTAGAGAAACTTCAGCTGAGGCATTTCCCCCAGGGTGAGATAGTGGAGTTCCTGGGAAATTGAGTCCAGAAATAAATCCATCCAGTGTGATCGGTTCAATGACTAAACTCCTGTCTCTTTGTATCACCCCCTCCCATCAACCCGAAGTCCCTCCCTCCCCAGCCACACACTTCATTGTGCCAGAGCAAGCACCTGGAGAGCTGCCAAGCTGAAGGGGAGAAAAATCGATTTTGTCACTGCCCCACTTGGGAATTGTTACCACTTCGCAATGTAGTTGCTACGCAGCCTGCCCTGCTTCGCCCCGCTTCTTTCCCGGGGGGCTGACAAGCTCCCACTAGCACAGCGTGCCACAAAGTGCTGCAGGGAATCTGGAAAGTTAGAGAGGATTTTAGGAGGTTTCTTCCCTCTGCTCAGCGCTCCCACTTGCGAGACAAGCTCTTCTGCATGAATTAACTCCGCTCCAGTTCCACACATTGCACCCTCACCCGCAGCTTTTTTCCAATTAAGCTTCAGCTGTGTAGAGGAGGGGAGAGACACACAGACCCCTGCCCCCAGCTGAAATACCTCTTGCGCAATTTGCAGCAGAGAGGTTTTGTACAGATTATTCTCCCTTCACCCCTCCTGAAGACAAAGTTTCAGACCAGTGCAAATCCTTGGTATTGCAAAACATGGGGAGGGGACATATCTACCTGGCAGCCAGCAGTGTTGATATGAGACTGCCTCACTTACTGAATGCCTTTAACTGGCAGCACAGAGCGCCTACAGCAAGAGCAGCTTCCTTACACCATCAGAGCTGAATTTGACACAGCCTTTAACTATTGCTCACAAAAGTTCATGCTGAATACACAAGTGTTTCCAGGATTTTATCATTGTATCGGATGATATGGACTACGGAAACATCATCCAAAGGAAACCGGGTGAAATGTTGACACATAGGAGAGAAACAACAAAAAAATAACCAAAACCAAAGGCATTCTCATGAAGTAATTAGAGGCTCAGTCTCAAAACTACACCCACACTCGGTGTGTGTGTGTCCCCCAATTACTGTTCAGTATTGCAGCTGGAACCGAGCACACTTACTGCACTGGCAGACAATTGCCACCCAGAATTCTGCAGAACAAGATTACAATTAAAAATTATTTTGATAGATTAGAAAAACAGCCTCAGGGCAGGGGGAGAAACAAGGAGATGAAAAGGGGGAGGGGGGGTGGTATGCAAAGTAATGGGAGGAAACACAAAGAACTACTGAGCAGAAGTAGAAAATTCTCTACGCAGATCCAGAGCGGAGCAAAAGCAGCCAGTTAGCAGAAAAGGATCTCAAGCTGTATCAATTCATAGCCTAAAGTGGACCCAGCAGTCTCATGCTATTGTAAAAAAAGTACGATTGATCATCATGCTGGGCTGTGTGAACAGGACTGTAAGACACACAAAACAGCACTCAACTCTATACCCAGCACCAGTCTCAGGAAGAGGACTCTGCCCAGTCCTGGTAGCTACAGCACGTCGAGAAAGCATGGATCAGGAGACAGCTCGGCTGAACATCAGGAGCAGTCACAGGTTAAGCTTTTTCAGCCTCTGATCACGAGGAAAGACTGAAAGAGCTGAGAGAGAGGAAGGGAACTCCCTCTGCAGAGACAAATTATACAGAATCTCTGCTGGAAAAGTTGAGGTTTGTCTTTTTCCTCTTGCCTTGCATCAGGGATGAGCTCTGGATGCTGGGAGATCCCGCCAGCTCTATTTATTTTCCACTATTCTAGAACAAGAGTAAAGCAGAGTGGCTGAACAGTCCATAAATAGGGCTTGTTCTAAAATTAGGCCTTTGGTCTTCAAGAGAAAGGGAGAAAAGAAAGAAGAAAAAAGCCACGCTCCCAGCCAGAAAGCACGGTTCACTTCTCCTGTATTCATCTTTTAATAACTGCTGGCTCGTTAAGTCAGACACTGACTCCCAGAGGGACTGTCTCTTTCCTCATTGTTTACCCATGCCATCCGAGTCACAACCCCTCTGGCCAGCAAAATTGAAAACATCACCTTTCAAGCTCCATCCCACTTTGATCCAGAGCTCATTGTGTCTGTAATACAGTAGATTTATTTTTCATTCTCTCTTTTCTTTCTTTCTCTAACGGATGCCACTGGAAAAGGGTCTCAAAGATCTACACGTTACTAAACTGGCAGCAAGCTCTGTTAAATACCTGACACGTCAGAATCACTGTGTAACTTGTTCGCTCATCCCTGGTGCATCCTAGCTTCAGGCAGGCTGTTGTGCAAGAAAAGAAAAGACATTATCTCATTTCCACGCAGACTGCAGTTCAACGCACTAAGGGCCCAATACCCAAAAATGTTACAGCCATTTTGTACATATTCTGACCAGTACAAGGGAAACAATCCAGGACCAAGCGAACAGACCGGCTCCAACTGCATGCAGCTTGGAGGACTGAGGCAATGTTGTTTTTTCCCCTGTGTTAGAGCTGCACCCAATAAAATTAGTCACAAACCCTCCCTTTGCAAGGGCCAACAGGACTTCGAAGTTATAATACCCCCCTCTCTACTTTCTTCTCCTGCAGCCCTCCCTCCAAGCCCTGTCTCACGGCACAACGGGGAATCCTGAAGAGGCTGGTGCTCACGTAGCCCTTGCAATCAAAGGCCTGCAGAGAAAAGGAGCTCACAGCTACAAGGGGGGAATTCAGATAAATATCTTGAGTACATCAGCTAAACACGCACCAGTTACCTCCAGAAAGAAGTACCATATTAATAAGCATTTTAGTGCTGGAGAAACACATCTATCTTCGGTGAGGTATCAGAGGCAGTGGCAACTCTGGTTGCCGAGTTTGGCATCCAGGTTAACGAGGAGATAGTGGACAAGGCTACAGGTGAGTCATCAGGAAAAATCCTTCTTTGTTATAGCTTATGCTTCCAAAACCAACCCTTAGAACATGTTTCCTCTCCCAGTAGCAGCATCTTGGTTCCCCATTATATTCCCACAAGTTCATCCAAACTCAGAACAGAAAGGGGTCCCTCCTAGGGCAACATCAGGCTGCAAAATAAGGCGCAACACCTGAGGGGACTGACTGGAAAAACTCCACGGATAGACACTGTTCAGAAGAGATGGAGACAGCACGGACAGAAAAGAGCGCATTGGCTTAAGAGAAAGAAGTCTTTTACCAAGTAGTGCTGTTACAATCAGCATTCTACATTTGAAGCATAACAAATAAACATAAAAAAATTAAACTCTGAAATCAATAAACTTCCAAACATCTGTAACTTGAATGCCTGAAATTAATCTGGAAATCTTAACACCTGAAATAAACAGTTTTGCAAATGTGATTCCCAGATCAAGTGAACAATGTTGTTGATGTTTTTTAAAAAGAAAAAGTTTCGGCACAGCCCCATGAAGAAGAGCAAGAGGCCACTCAATCCTCCCCCAGGGCCTTGCTTGCACGGGGCATGTTAAAATGTGCAGCTGGCATAGCTCTGCACCACACCAGTCCAGATTGTACCACATAGGACCAGTTTGGCAGCCATTCTAATGGGAGTCAATGACAGCCACACCATTAGCTCAGAAGAAAAGAAAACTTTCATAAAAAGTCAGCCTGGAAACGCCTGAATAAACTTCAGAGCTCTTAAAACAGTTACTATGGAGTCACTATGGAAACAAGCAATGAGTTAAGCCAAGTACTAATCTCAGCAAAATACAAAAAAGAATGCTTATAGTCATTTAGCTTCCTTATTGCAAGGCTTGGTGCTCAAACACAAGGCTGGCTTATACCCCGAAGTCCCAGCCACTCTTTCCTTGCTCAAAAAAAATACACTAGTACACAGCTAGGCATACAATTAAAGGATACATTTATCAAAACAGACTAGAAGCAAAGTACAGGAGCAATGTGGATCTCCTGCAACCCAACCCCACACACACTGGGGGAGAAAAAACAGAGGAGTAGTCCTTGCACAAGTGTGGTTTTAAACTCGTTTGCAGATTCATCAAGGAGTTTGCAGTCCAAGAGGTAAGTGGGCGAACGCACACTGTCAAAACCCGCCTGCAGGCTTGAGCAACTACAACTTCCCTTCGAGTCTCTCGAGTGCAAAGGACACAAGGAGGCAGCTGATACCACTCAATCACACAAACCACATCACACAAGCTATTTGAACAGTATCAAAAGGAATACATCTGTAAGGGTTAATTACAAGATCACATTCTGTGCAAGTCATGTTGCTGTTAAGCAGAGGCTGTCAGCACTCTGGGAAAGCAAAGCAGAATTATTCATCCGCAAAGCAGAAAATTCACGACATTTACGCGGCCATTGCCACACATATATAGCTGCTTGGTTTTTCTCAGGGGAGGAAAGAAGGATGGGGCTTTGCAGGGGAAGGACCTAAAACTTTCCCTCCCCACCAGTCTGGTACTGAAATCAGCAGGAGATCACGTGGACTAGAAACATCTATGCACTGCTTGCTTTTTAGTAAATAGTGGGAAAAGAGTACATTAATACACTGAAAACACCTGTCAAAAACATTATTCAAACTGCTGCAGACTTGTTTCTGAACAGCAGCTTAAAGGACTGATACTAGGAGGAAGGAAGCAAAGGGGATTCAGAGCAAACTTTCAACCTGCAGAAATATTTGCTTGATCATTTTAGAAAGTCAGGTATTTGATACAGTGAAATTCAACCCAGCTTTTACAAGTATCCCACCATTAACACAAGCAGGATCTGCAGACTCCTATAGAGCCAACCCCAGAAATACAGTGGCTGCAGCATTATTCTCCTCAGACAGCCCCAGCAACATGTCCTAGCGCTGAAACCCATTCCTGTGAATACACAGCAGCTTCAGCATCTAATTATTTCCACTTTCCAGTATCCCTACTGGGAGCTCAAAACCATGCGTTAAAGCTGCTCACACTAAAAACAAATGACAGAGCAGCTGCATGTGTATGAAACAGATATAGCATAAACATCATTCAGTGACACTGCATCAGGTAAAAAAAATTTCCTTTCCTGAGAACTTCGTTCCAACAAATTAAACCTTCCTCCAGGTGGTAAGCAGCTAATTTTTCCAGTTTATGACAGCCACGATAACACAGGTTTGTGGAAATACTACTGGCACAAACATCAACCCACAAGCTGTTAGTTAAACTATAAGCTGTTATGTGAGCCTAAGTAAAATATTTTGTCTCCTCTCAAAATTCAGATATCACAAACAAACTGGCAGTGAAGCAAAGAAACATTTATGAAGTGCAACAGAACAAAATGATTTGTACAAAAATGAATTCGAAAAGTCAAGTAGAAACACACATGTGAAATCCTCAAAAGTAAATAAATTACGTCTATGCCTCTAACATCTCCTCCTTCCCCCTAAAAATCATAATCCAACTTTTTTTTTTTCTCCCCCCAAACTTTGCCCAAATGAGTGTGATGAGCTCCTAGATTTCCTAGGAGTAAGAATACAATTTAAAGAGCAAGACAGATTTTGCTTTGTCTCAGTAATTACCCCTCAGATGACAGAATTGGAATTTACTCAAAAATTCCTGCGGCTGGAATTTCATCATTCCCCAACATATTAACACAAATGCTTTTCGCCTCCTTCCACATTTTCACGGGACACAAAGGTTAGAGGCGCATGACTCCTATCACCATTATGACCCATTTTCCTGCCCAGTTGTTCATTATTTGTTCATTATCTGTTAAACTCTGTCTTTTGGGAAGGGATAGAATGAGTAGCTAATTCATGACTAGTGAAATATCTGACGTTTATTAATAATGTGAGGATATCTTGCAAGAAGACATCAAGTTCAATGTTTCAAATAGCAGTAGATCATACACTTACGCTGAACACCATTATTGGAAAAGTGTACAGCTGACTGGTAAAAGGAAACTTATGGCCTCTGAGCTTCTAAGAGTGCATTTCTCTGAGTGTTTCACGTAACTGGTCACAGGAGAAGGAAAAACATCAAGAAGCTGCAGCAGTGTAAACATGAAATGCCAAAGAAGTTATTAAAATAGTATTTTATTTTATGAATAAAAACTAAACAGAATTAGGACACGGTTCTATTTTTTCTTTTTCCCTGTTTCCTTTGAACTATTCTGATCATCTCTTTTTGAACCAAGGCCATATCTACCATTCCTGTGCTGATCCTGCCACTCGCTCTCCAGCTGTCTCAGCATTTCTTGAGTTAGAAGTCCTTCACGCAACAATCTGTTGGCAAGAGATCCACGTCCATGGCTTTTCAGATCGTCCTGCCTTGCAGCAGACCGATAGGCTTTCAAGTTCTTAGCTCTTCTTTCTCCTGGAACCTCCACTGCAATAGAGAGTGCCTCTGTGGATTTTGCACCATGACGGTCTGAAACCGCCCTCGTATCCCTCCTAGTCCTTGAAAGAGGAAAGTCTTCTGACATGACTTCTGCCGTGCTAGGAGCAGCTGCGGACTGTGAAGCTCGGATCAGCTTCGTGATGTTGCAGACACCAATTTGTATAATGTCGTCTAGTTTTTTCTGAACATCCCTTACAAGGACAGCATCAGGGAACATATCCATGAAGCGGTAACTGAAGAGAGTCAAAACAACACACAATTAAACATTTTCACTAAAGGACTGCTGACTAGGACAGAAATGAGATACATACTATGTAAAGTAAAAAGAAAAATTATTACGTGTTGCATGGGAAGGCCACTGTATTTTAAGTGGCATTTCAGCTGCTCCTGTCCAGGATCACCTTGTTTCTAACTTTCTCCCTCTGTCAGTCACAAACTGTTCTCTGCAGAACCCGTGACGTGCTCCCACAATATAGCTACATCTGCATTTCTCAAGATCCTCTAAAGGGCCAAAGGAGCCCATACTGCACCACGTACACACGGGCTTGAAGACACTGCTTTTCTAGGACTGCAAGTCGTAAATATTAGGAATAAATAAAAACAATTTTCAAGCACAAAAACAATACCTTAACCACAGATACAGGTCAAAAACATCATGAACAGCTTCGAGGTGCACAAGTTCTTTGATGTTCTTTGGAGCGGCTAACGGCCATTTGGTGTGCCGACAGAGCCAGTCAAACGTCAGAGGCTCATTTCTACTGAACTGTCTTGCAAACTGAAAAACAAACAGATTCAGTGAAGTCCTCAGTTAGTGAGGAAAGAAGAAATCCCAAAGAGTTAAATTCCCTTGAGCCTGTATACACAGAATACTCCAGAAAATACCTGCTTTGTTTTACACAGCCCAAATGCCACACATTCTTTTACTTAATTACTCAACGGGTCTCCTTTCCAGGGCCTCATTAATACTATTTTCCACGGGCCATGCACAGAGTTAAGCAACAGAAGTACAGAGCTATCCAGAAAAGCATAACGCTGAAGGCGTATGATTTCATCTAGCAAAGCAGATGGACTTTGTCTTTTTAATTCTCCTACTCCTATTCTGTTAATTATCTGGTTTCAGAATCTCCAGGGTTGAGAAAATGTTAAATGTGATCCCTGACTTAGGAAACACTATTCACAACCCAAACAGATAAATCTCCACTAGAAATCAGCCCTGCCAAAGCCTACACATCTCAGTTCTTTTACTAACAGATAAACAAGCCAAGTAAGATTTAAATTTAAAATTTTCATGAGCATTCATGACTTGGAATAACTGCTTCCTAACTGGCTGATACCAGAAGGCTTTTTGCCAAGGAATGGGTCTTAAATTCACACAGGCATTCACAACAGCCTACCTCCCTCTCGTACCACGTTATGCCCCTCTGCACCTTCATTACTTGGGACCTGAATTCTCAGCATTTTCTTAATGACGCACATTTTTTTTTTCCAACTCTTCAAATCAATCACTCAATTTCAAAAGGACATTACTAGCCATTTTTTGCTATTTGGCACAGGTCTAATATTTGTGACATGAGGACACCACATCAGTTTCATTTTTACACTATTTTATTCAAAATGTTTAATGCAGTCTCTAAAAGGGGACAAAGGCAATACTGTCTAACAAAGCAACAGTCCCAAACAAAATTATGAATCCTGAAAAACTGAAACCAGCTGACTACAAATTCCTCAAAATAATCACTCTGGGAGCACAGTGGAAAACAGTTCATCCAGGCCTGAAAAGTGAAATAACGTTAAGTCTGAGAGCAACTTACAGCACTGTATTTTCTGGGGTTTTAATTCTATGTAACTTTATTATAGCATCAGCAATCACACTTAATCCCACATTCTTTTCTTTTGCTGACAAGGTAACACCTCAAAGCAGCGGTATCTTGTTTAAGGACTGCTTTTAGACATGCTGTAGTGCAAAGCTTAACAGCGCACAAGTGACTACGTAATGCAATTCTGATCTCTCCCAGTTCAAAGATCACCTGCAAGGCAAGCAGTAGGATTGTTCAAGGTGAACAGCAGAAAAACTATCCAAATTTTAATTTACATCACAAAATGAGAATCAGTTCTCAGAATTTAAAAGCTTTGGCCAATAAAAATGTTGAAGAATGCAATTAAAAAAAAAAAACAAAACAATCTCCAGCTATTTTATACCACTACCTGCGAGTACTTTACGAACACTCTCAAATGACCTAATGACAAAAGCCACATTAAATATAGCAGCCAGATACAGTCTCAATGTACCAAGACCCGCTTGCTCTGATATAAATACCACATTTTTTGGAGGAAAAAAAATAACTGACCTTCAACAATGTGGTACACACAAAAGGCTCTTTTCTGTTCAAGGGTGCAGTGCAGAAGACATATCGTGATCGTAAATTTAGTGGAATGTGCTGAATCATATCTGCTAGGAATTTGAAGTCATCAATATTGCAGACAAAATAAAGCCCATCAACTTGTGAGAGACTCACAAAAATATCCTGGGAAAACATAACCAGATGAAGAGGATGTTATTACAGGAGAGGGTATTAAACTTTGTGTTACCAAACCAAGAAATGATTTAGTGTTTCAAAGGCTAGTTATACTAAAGGAACAGTTAAAAATATATCAGATTTGATATATAAAAATAATAAAATTTGATATATAAAATAATAAAAAAGGGGGCAGGGGAGTTCCCTCTACTCTTGTAACAGGATTTTCATTAAATTCTCTCTAACACAGGAGCAGAGGAGAAGACATAATGCACTATGCTTTATTTAAGCATTTTCGATTAACCTCCTAAGTAACAAATATAGTGTTCTGGAAGTGTACATTTTAGTGACAAAGAACACCATCACAGGAACCAGTTACTACTATGTTTAGAACTTGTTCCAGGTTTGTCACTTAGCATGACCCAAAAAGCCAACTTTACAGCACAAAATTCAGTAATTGAGGTATTTTTAGCCCATTGTCAGGAACAGATCTATCTTAGGAAGAGAGAAATCACAAGACAAACATGGTATTGTGATAGAGGAGTTCAAAGAATACCTGAAACATATCCAAGGTTTGAAGAAACAGGAGATGCCACTCCACATCGCAGGGGGAATTTTTATGGGCCCCCAAAAGTTATTTCTGTAGTGTAAATCTTTGAAAGATTTTTTTAAAAGATCTTTAAAGAAACACTGAGCTTCTTAATTAAATATGTGACTGAATACTTAAGAGATCAATAATAACATGGGTTTTCCTATCTTAATACTGCTATGCTAGCCCAGAAATTCTCAACAGTAAAATTTTAAAGATGTGCTGTTACCCTACCAGCCTAAGTCTTCCAGGAGGTCTCCAAATGTAATCTTTTACCTTGAGGTTAGAAAATCATATACTTTGCTACATAACAGCACATCAGCAGAGAACAATAATATGCGTTTAAATTCATGCAAGCTGCTAAGAATTTCTCAGTGTACTAAAAACCATGATACTATTTTAAATACATCACCGGAAGCTTAATTTCTACTTTAATAGGTTTAGGAACTTCCAAAAATTCTACTATCCAGCTCATGATGAGATCAAGTAGATCCCACAAAATCTGTTTTCTCAAAGTTAAGGCAGACACTGTTTTACCATAAAGTCCACAGAACCGGGGTGGGGGGTGGGGGTGTGCGGGAATCAAGTAGCTCTCAGATGCACAGAAATCTGACATGACCAGCTCAGTTTCCCAGGAATTTTCACACAAGTTTATCAAAATTTCCATCTCTAATATTTCAGCCTCAGACCAACAAGTCTACATTTAAAATGCAGGAAAAGTAAAGTGAAAAGGTTGTTGCACGCTCTTCAACATGTGTAAACGCATTTACACACTTCAACAGCTTCCAAGTTTATCATAACACAGAGGTGTTAAGCATTCTAAATGTATTTGCAGTCACTGCTGTGGTACAGAGAAGAATCCAACTGGTAAGAGATACACACAAGGCTGGCTGTTAGGTTCCCAAACGGCATGTTCGTACAGAAGCAGTGACTATAAGCAATGCTTAAATTTAAAGCAGAAACAGGTATTTTGATCATTCTTACAATTAGATTGGATAGAGTAGCATCAGGGAGATGATAAGCAAACATTTCTATCTGCTCAGGAGTAGGATGGAGGCCAGCTGCCTAAAGGGAAAATAGAGAAAAAATTTCCATTAATTCTCAATATTGTTCTTAGGTTAGTGCATCAGAAACAAAGCCTAGAAAGACAAAATTCAAGAAACCAAAGCACTCTACAGAGTCCAGTTTATTTAGCAGACTTATCTGGAATTTAAGAACTTTTGTGTTTGAGCTTTTAAAAAAGCAGCTTCAATATAAATGAAATATTGCAAGCCTCCAAATGGGACCTATATTCAAAGCCACTCTGGCATGACTCAATCCATTTTTATTACTAACTTGTAAACAGACACAAGGAAAAATACTTTGGGATCAGAACATAGTAAAACAGCTCCAGAGCACACCCGTACAAACTGGGTACTGAGCTTCTCACCTTCACAGGGCGCACAGGCTCACTCAAAATTTCCTTCAGCTGCACGAGATCATCATGATGCATTGTAGTGACTTCTCCTTGTTTGAAGGATGAGCCGTAACGCCCAGCTCTGCCTGCGATTTGTAGAGCCTGAGAGGTTGTAATGGAATCTATTTCTTTTTCTCCCTTCTCATTGATAGTTGGCTTTACTATAGAGTTAAAAATTATTCTTTTTATACACCTGAAATATGTGAACAAAAAGGAATCCTTTTTTTGCAAATTATTTCCAATATACAACCTACTACTGAAGAATGAAAGCTTTTTTTTGTGTTGAGCTTTTTTCCACTCTATAAATTAAGAGACTACTTATGGACACAGCATATTCAAAAGGGCAGCATAAGAATACTGGTTAGTTGCAGGAGAATCATCACCCCTACATGCATCAATCTTGTTCTAGTAGGGTCCCAAGCAATTCATCACCATCTGCCTCTGTAGTTTATAGCAATGTGACCGCATGCCTTCAGCAACAAAATACATCTGAAACTGGACTGACCTTCCTCTAAATTTCAGAAATGCTGAAGACAGATTCTCTGACAACCTAGCACATCTGACTCCTATGGATCGAAAGGACCTTAACAGCGCCTACTATCACACAGAAGTAGGCCAAGTGAGCCATTTAATTCTTAGAATCAGTTTTAAAATGAAAGCTTACTTCTACCCAAATTGATCACTACTTCAGAATTAAAATGTATGTACTGTGTTTTCTAGACATGGAAGATATCTAGCCAGATTAGTCAAACTGGGGAGAAACAAGTGAGGAAATTAATGCAGGTATCACACCCAAAAAAAAAAAAAAAATCATACCATAAACTGCTCCAAGTACTTACAAATTGAGTCCCATTCCAATTGCATCTGTAGCAACTAAAATTTTGCATGGATCATCAGGATCATTGAATTTCTTTGCCTGTTCAAGTTTTGTTCCTGAAATAGAATGATAAAACAATTCACATAGCAAACTCTTCTTACAAAACAATGTATCACTAAGCTCTATGCTTTTATAATAGGCTGGGGGAAAAAATTGGTATTTGATTGGTATTTGGCTGTTGTTGGGGGAAGGGGCCAGGAGGGATTTAAATCATTCCCAGAGCTGCGGACAGACCTCATTTAATTACATCTGAAGATCTGAATACTACATACATAATAAAGGTCTAATCCCAAGATTAAAACAACAGTCAACAAAAGTTGATTACTTTAACTTGACAGACATGCAAAACTAGGAAAACTTGTACTGCTTCATTTTAAAGGTTTTTCTAAGAAAGCAGCAAGAAGCAGAACGTTCCCCTAAAAATAAAAGGAAGAGTGCTTTACCTGGTGGCAGACTGCCATATATGACAGCACATTCTAAGCCTCTGGCTTCAACTTGTCTACTGACAGAGTAAATGTCATTCTTGCTGAAACAGACAACGCAGTCCCCAGGACGGAGGTTATCTAAAGATTCTAAGGCATAATCCAGCACAGTAAGAGGAGTGAGTCTCTTGTAGTTTCGGACCTAGAATCAAAAGAGTTGTCAAAGATAACATGTTTTTACATGAAAAAATCCTGTGGAATATCAGTCAGTATGGTTGTTATCACGATTGACTGTAACACTGAGGGACCTCTCACAGTCTTTAAGGGATAGCTACTGGGGAGAAGGTGCCATACACCTCGCGTGCTTGTATACTTGCAGCAATTCCCAAGCTGAGAACTATATGGCCTTTTCAAGAAACACAAGAACTATGTATTTTTACATGTAAATTAGATTCAAGAAAAGAAGTACACAGGCTACGTAGCAATTCTATCAAGAAATGAGAGTCTGTTTTCACTCAGCCATCTGAATGCTGTAACTAGTCCCCTTTCAGAATTACATGCCCTCACACGCCCCAGATAATATAAAGCTGCAGCTAATTCACCAGAAAATCATGCAAGCTGGACTTTCTTAGGACCAAATTTTATGTTTTTAAATACACTTCACAAAGGAATCTTCCCAAGAAAAAAACCAACATGACCGTAAACTCGGGTTTCAGAGATCTTTCAATCACCTTCTTCTGGAGGTGTTAGCTCTTTTAACTCCTTTCCTCATCATATGGAGAATAACTATTAATGGATCCAGTAACCTCAGCAAACTTGAGGGCACTGGGCCCTCCAGGAAGAACAGAACTGTAAAGAAAGCCCCTAAACAGCTGCAGCATTCCCTGAGGGGAATTCAGCAAAGCCCTTATATCCTTTAAGCAAAAGAATACCACTATTAAAAAGAAAAACCACAACAAAAACAACAACAACAAAAAAACCCGACCACAACCAAAAAAAAAACGAAACAAAAAAACCCACTACAACTTTGCAACATTTCCTTTGGTTTACAGGAATTGAGAAACATTTTAACAAGAACAACTTTGATCAGTGATACCCACAAAAGACTAAATTTTTGCCCATTTTCCAGCAAGGAGAACCTGATGCTCTGTCTGTAACTTTACAGAATTAAAAAGCTTACTTCAACTTCCTCCCCTGTTGTGTACATGAGCTCTGTCACCAAGTCAATAGCAGCAGCTTCTCCACAAACATGGATTTCTTCCGCACAGAGTCCTGAACAAGATCCAATGAAATAAAATGCAAAATGTTACATATTTATAGACAACAGTAGCTTTAGCTGACTTTTAAGTTACCGAAAACATTACATTTTGCTTGCTAAACACATCAATGAGGACTGTATTTCACCTCCTTCAACATCCCAGATCAGTACTCAAAGCCTCTCCTGCAATAACAACACTTCCTTAGAGCTGCTCTTGATCTCGTATCAGCGAGTGATGCTTGGAAATCCATTAGTATGATAATCAGAGCAGCTAATACCTTGTTGCACCCCCTCGCCAAAACAAGAGGTACCCTCAACCACTGAACAAATGGAGCAAAGCTTTGAGAATGTTTTATTTACTACTACTAAATCCCAAATCACAGCAGAACTAACGAGCTTTGCTTTGTGCATGACCTTCAAAACTTATGAATACGTCTCTAATGCAGTCAGAATGGAAAAAGGGGAAAAAATAGGAGGCAGGGGAAGTGCAACACATCATCCTGTTAAACTTAGCATCAAAAGCAGTGAAGGGAAGGGGGGGGAGGAGGGGAGGAATCAGATTCCAAACTTCTGTTCACAATCTGAGGAAAAATGAGTTTCAAAAATTCCTCTTGAAAAATTTGAGAATTATCACAAGAAGCATTGTTCTAAGAATTTAACAGATCACTGCAGCTCTATAAATGGGCCATTTTGAATTAACACTATAAAATATTTGATGTTCGCCATGTTGCCATACATTTAACAGTATCTCTTCATAACGAAATCTCTGAAAGATTGTGTTGTTTTAATTGAACAAAAAAAAGCATACTTTAAAAAATAATCAATGTAAAAGGACAGCATGGTGTAACAGCACAAAGACTCCATATTACCCAAGGAAGCAAAACTAAAAGAGGCAACTGTGTAACTTGGAGAATAATTTTTTTTAAAATATTCATTAAATAAAACATGAGAGGTAACTTGCTGCCTACAGACAAATCCTTTGAGGCAGAGTATCTCTCTAACTTGCTGTGAGAAGATATATGAAGAAACAATACTTTTATTTTGCATCACACAGTGTAACCACTTACGAATATACTGACTACCCAGCTTGGATTTAATGTGCCATTTATAATCACATTAAACTAGTTCATTGTCAACACAAACAAGCTTACCTAGAAGGGCTCTTGTCCAAGCCCACCCTCTGGCAGGATCTCTGATCATCTGAATTTCATCAATCACAGCAACTTCATCTTAAAACAAACAAACAAAAAAATAATGCACCAAGGAAGAGCATCCAGAACAGCAGTACAAGACAGGAAAGAACTTGAAAGCTTTCTAAAAAAGGTTGCTCAAATCAAGTTAATCCTCTACCACCAAAAAGCTATTCTGAGATGGTTCAGGTTTTATTAACCACTCTAACATAGTTCAGAAATTGTTCAAGTAAGAGTGAAAAGGAATAGCTCAGCTACTTCAGAGGCCAATAATACACATAAAGATACCATAGATATGACCAAAACAATTATGAATACATACAAGGCGTATTAGTGCTGCACATTTCAATGGTACAAGCAATGTGAGAAGCTTGTCTGGCATCTTCATTGGCATACACACGCTCTTCTCCTGTCACCAAGTCACATGGCACATTCTAAAGGAATTCAGAAAACTCATATTAAGTTCCTTTGATAAAACAGAATCCCCTTTCCAAAGGGGGAAAAAAAAAAATCAGTTTCTTAAAGTACCTTCTAAGACAGTATAATGGAAGCTATCCAGAAAATAACTACTCAGCCTTTTGCAACTTGTGCCCTGTATTTAAGTCCTACCAGACTGAAGGGTATAATGAAGAGGTAGCATCTGTAATTAAATGCCCTCCCCTACTCCTGCAGGAGATTACACCTTCCTCTGAGCATTCCAGAGCTGTCACATCTGCAACAAAGTACTGTCAGAAGAGCTGTAGTACAAGGGGCTCATAAAGCATGGCCCAGAAGCGAAGGAGCCTTGCAAGTTCCAGCCTCCTCCGGTTTATCTGGCGATTGCCCTGTTGGGTGTCCCACCTCCTGCCTCATACTCAGGCAGCGTGAGGACTAGCTGTGAGAGACAGCAGGGGCCACCACCTCCATCAGCCCTACACTCGCTGAATGTCAGGCAGATGGCTGCTCCTTCCATATCTACAGCCACCTGTAAAGCCATGCAGGAAGCCCTGTTTAGGCTATGTATGATCCATGAGCTGCCAAGTAAAAAGTCCTCATGCACACTTAACACATGGGAAAAAAGCGCAGTAATGTTACTACTAACAAGGAACGTCGCTACACAGTACCCACATGCGGTACGCGTCACAGATTATCTCCTAGGACAAGCCAACCTTTCTTACATGTTGCTTTGATAAACCAATAATAGGAATTACAAATTCTAAACCACAGCCTTATCAAAACAAGAGAAATCACGAGATTGTTTGGTAAAAACTACGGTACATACACACTATGCTGCATTAACATATGATGTGTTATTGTAATGCTTCAGAACTGGTGTGGCTCTGTCCAGCTGGAAACACACTGGTAAGGAGCCTTCAAAAAGATGCTGGAAGCAATTAAAAAGAAGTACTAATGAAACCTTCCTCTGGGGACCTTATATAGGGCACTGCTCTTCCACTCAACACATCTGAAGCTGCAGAACCTTTTATTATATGGCTGAGTGAAACCTGTTTAAACACTAAAGCAGAAGGTTGAGGGGAAATAAGCAAGGAAAATTTCTTGCGTACAAGCTAAAATAAAGGTCATGGGCAAAAGAAGCCACAGTTGCCACGCTGAGAAAGCTAATAGTAAAACCTAGCTAAACTCAGGGAGGGAAAAATTACAGGAAAAAGGAGGCAGGTTACAGGGATGATTGCACGGCATGTGCTTTGGGGGAAGTGATGTTCCATTTGGGGAAATGATGTTCCCTTCTGCATGCCTAAAGCAGAAACGCACAACTGGTATTCACATGAGCTGACACTACTGCAAAGCAAAGGCACCCGTTCAAGCACACTGCTTCATGGACTACCTTAAGCAACTACTGTACTTCACAAACATGCATTCATGGGACTGTTCCAGCATTAAGGATGTAGGTAAGTATTATAACATACTGACAGCATCATTACTCTTTTGGAAGATCTCATGAGCCAGAAGTTTTAGTGGGCCGCAGTATATTCCAGATTTTGCTGACAAAAATCTCTGGATAGCATGGTAAGTTTTTCCACTGTTTGTAGGACCAGCATGGAATATTATCTTTCTCTGAATAGCCCTGGCGTCTGGATACCTAAAACATACACACACAAAAAAAAAAGCAGATCTATTGAAAATTTATCTGGTGTTCTGGATACTGATTCTGGGGAAATTGCACATTAGCTTAAACATTTGCTTATTAACGTGTGTTGAAAGCAGAAAGATCAAGTTCTTAAATAGAGGCGTTATAAAGAGGGTACTATCTCTTACACATTCATCATCTAACTCATACAATGCTTTCAAAGATTTAGAGTGGAAATCACACATTGTGTTAAAAATAATTCTCATTACTGTGGTCTCTCTCCTTGGGTATATTAACATTTTAATGTTCTGGCGTGCTACCTTCCGAACAGATACAGCCAGAACACAGCTTTCTGCAAAGGCAATAACAGCCCAGGGACTTTCATAGCTGATACAATCTTACTTGCCTTCTAATTGATTGCGATATATCTCATAACAAAGGTAAGAGTTCCTGACAAATTACTGTAAAACCAGATAAATGGAACTGAAAGTATAGTGCACTTATACATCATAAAGCTTAATTCCACAGACTATGAAATTCTATGACACTAAGAAAAGAAAACACTGCAACTACGTAAACACACTGACCAGTTGGGTGGCAATCTTAAATCACTGATTTTCCGCAGATCATCCATACAGTCCAGCATCGGAAAGATCTGCTTTGCATGCCTCAGGAAAAACGGAAAGAGATCATCCACGTGACCTAGAAGACAAACCCATTTAAGAGAGTTTGCATGCTTGTCTGAAGCATGCATCTTCATAATAAACTTTAAAAAGAAATCTACTACGTCCTCCACACACTTATGTAATTCTTTCAACTTCTGGCTCTCTACAAAGTCCAATAATTATCTCAATGGCAGGAAGGCAAACTAACATGCGTACACAAACTCACTAAGCAACGTAATGCAAATACAATAGTATGAAAAAAAAAAATCTCATTTCAGTATATTCACTCTGGTTAGCCTACATGTCTAGAGAACTAAATAAAATGAGAAGCTATGGAATAGCTGGATGAGAAATAGCTTTTCTGTCCTCAGAAGATTTTAGCCTTTCCTTCCTAAATTCATGCGCTTCCTTCGAATAAAATAAAATAAAAGCTTCTCAAATGCTTTTATGAATAAACAGAAAGAATAGTTTGCAGCTTCCCTAAGCTACTAGGACTTGGGCTGCTGGTTCAAAACTGTGAGTCTCCAATCCTTGGTGAGAAAACAAAAATAGAAAAATTCAGAAAAACTCCAAAGAGACATCCAGGTTCGCTCTTCTGAATGTCTGCAGAGTAGACATGTGGCCTTAAAGGTCTCATTTCAGGTCACACTCCCATTGTTGGGCTCTCACAGAATTTCAAAGAGCTGCCTGAATCTAAAAAACTGTTCTTAACAAACAAGCACACAGAAAAAAAGTGGTGTGTGGTTTTGTTCTGTTTTATTTTTAAATTGAGAATTAGTATTCAATGAATCAAAATTATTGCGAAAAATTTAAAGAACTTAAAAACTGTAGTATTTTCAACTATCATCTTTGGACAAGCAAAACTCAGCTAAAAAACTTCAAAACTGCTACAGTGAACAACCCTTTACACTCCTATATATGGGAGCTTTAAGGCCTAATAAACAATGCTCATATATAAGTAAATAAGGAGTGGAAGTGAGGAAATCATGTGGAAGATTTTATGCACAACTAATATAAAAAGACACTTTACATTTCCTAAAATGGTAAACATTTAAAAATATACACATTTACATTTTAAGACAAAACTAATGGCCACCGTAACCTTTAAATTACCATCATTAAAAGCAAAGTTCTGCAGTTTGAACCGTGGAGAAGGCCATTTCTGATGTTAGCAGCTAGCATCACCTCCTAGCTAAGTGCCCTTGATGACAACACACCGTGCAGTAAGCAAGCAAACAACTTGCTTCTACCAGTGCCACAGGGAAACAGAGCACAGACACAGAGCTGTGCTCCCAAGTACTTAAAGCTGCCCGGCCAGGAGAAAGCTCGCAAAGTGCCCCCTAGTGACTACCGAATTTTTAAGAGAGGAGTAAATGGAATAGTACTTTTTTCATTTTAGCAATGAACAGATGCTATAAAACAACAGGCTGCTTCTTGCTAAGACCTCCGCCTCTTTTGTTTCCACTTCAGAAGATTTAAGGACAGAACAGTGATTTTTGACCTCTTTTACAGCATAATAGGGGGCATCCACAGGTACGTAGGTAAGCATACAGGTCAAAAAACAAGAAAAAAAAAACCAACCCCAAAACATATTTTATTTTACAAGCACTCCAGATACTTGCCTGCACCACAGCATATATCATTGAGAATAATATGCAAATCAGCACTCACAGAAGTGGATTCCATGATATACTTCCTAAAGCTTATAAACGCTTGGTGAAACAGGCGAGCTGCAAAAAAAAGGAACAAAGTAAATGAGACTGGGATCACAAGACCATGTTTGTAAACACCCAACAAAACACTGAAGTAGTCCATTAAAAACCTACACCTTATCATGAGATATTACATGTAAACATAAAGTTTATTTGAACCAAGTGACAAACTAAACAAGCAGTGTCGTGAGACACATAAAAGATCAGATCTACCTAATACCATATCCGAATAAAAATAATTTCACATTAGAAAAAAAAATAAATCTAAGAACATTTTCTTACCATCTAATCCATTTTCTGCTCCTAGTCTTTGGATTTCTTTTCTTTTGTAGAACTTATTTAAGGTTTTTAGAACTTCACCTGCAGAAAGAGAGTAACATTTTTTTAGTTTGCTCAAATTTAAATCAATTCTGGTGACCCAAAGATTGTGGCTCTTAGTCTCATTACTTTGGATACTGGAAGTTTTTGCTACGCTGAACAGATTTATATGATTTCTCTCTAAATTAAACACAATCAATGATTGAGCCTATTGTAGAAAAAGACAATCTTAAACTGCAACAACTTAAAAACTGCCGTGACAATGAGGTCAGTATTTGAGAGACACCCTCCCTGGTGCTTGATAGGAAAGCATAAAGGTGGGAACCTGCAGCCAGCATGTTATGGAACAAACTAATTAAGGTTTTGGAGTGGGTTTTGTTTACTTTTTATCAGCGCCTATCAGGAAACAGCAGGTTTTAATGCGAAAAGTAAATCTGCTTAAACAGCTTTTACTGAACATCCCGAGAGACCACCTTCCCTCCACTCTGCTTCCAAGACACACTCGCCCGAAAGACCAGGCAAACTAGATGCAGTATTCTTCCTATTTCTCAGGTTAAATAAAGGAGGAGAGAAGAAAACTTAACAGACTTCCTTCATATGTACCACAAACTACTCAGATTTGTTTGTATAAATCTCTTATAAAAGTTACTAATAAATGCTTTCCCTCCCCGAAAGGCAAGTTCAGAGTTGTAACAGAACTGTATTTATTAATGAACACTCTAAATTCAGTTCGTTAAATATTAGTTAAATCACAATGGCAAAATTGTGTCCCCTCCCCATCTATACAGATCAGAAATTCACACCAACCTAGCAAATATCATGAGCACTTACCCATAAACTTACGTTATTCTCAAAAGCGAAGTCTACAAACCCTTTATTATAAAATGCTAGGACTGATACATCATGCAGCACACGACCACTCTGCCAGCACAAGTCATTGAACACAACACTGCCAAGCTCTACTCTCTGCAATTAACCCCGTAACTTTGAAGTCTCTGCCGTGACATAGAAAACTTCCCATGAGATCAACTTTGCTTCTCTTTCTAAAAAACTATACTCTAGAACAGAGATAACCCCCTTTGCATAATGAAAACCACCAGGTGACAAGAACATAGCAAAGTTCAACTGCAGGAAAAGCCAGAAGCACAGGAGCAGTGGCTACATCCCATACTCCGTGCATGGGTACAGTACTCTGTTAACACATTAACCTAACTAGTCTGAAACATTCACAAAGGTAACTAAGCAAGATTGTCAGCAGGCTTACATTCACTATGCAGGCATCCATACTGTCATCAGAAAATGTTTAAGGGCCAGGAAATCACAGACAGATTGGAAAACACTACATTAAAAGAAAGCACAGGGCTAAATTCTCTTCAGAGCTTCCAAGAGAATTTGTAACAGTTAACACATCATCAGCCACCTATCTGAACTCACAACCAACTGGCCTTACTACAAGATTGAAAGGTCAATGCCAGAACATTTGTTGCTATCCAAGGCAACATGACACTGGGACCATTGCAGCCCAAGGTCACAATCCTTCCTAAGCACAAATACTTGTCTTACAATAAGGTATATCAAAACAAAACAAAGCTGGCATTGCAGTCCACCCAGACATGCCCACGTTAGCTTAATCCCCCTGCACGCAGTACTAACTATCTACAGCCACAGCCAGCAACGAGGGTACATACTTGGGAGATCTGTGTCCTGCCTCTACCGTTACCCTTTTCACCATTCACTCCTGTTTTAAGATTCCCCTTTCTTTATCATTTCCTCACTCTAGAACAGTATTTTAACTACTACTCCTCAATTACTTTGGCTTCTCAGCAGCATTTTTTAAGGCCCTGTGTAAAAAGACAGCCTGACACTGCGGTTTGCTTCAGAAATTATGTAGTTAGCCTCCAATGTATCAGGTTCATTTACATGTTTCAGCCCTATTTGCAGGAAGACTTTTCAGTCATTTTCCTGCATCTGAGATGCCAACAGTCCCTTTCAGTAAGCCTGTATGCTACCACTGGGGGCAGCTGAATTGCTTTATTTTAAAATTCCTCCAGAACTATTACACTTCTATTGTCCAGTCCAAGTGACCTTGTGCACCTAACTAATCCACTTATTCAGGCACCTCTTGTTTCTGATGCATGACATTGCTGACAGCGGCCTCCTCTTTCCCAGCTTACATTTCTCACCAGTAAGCACAGCCCCGTGGACTGACAATTGAAGCCACAGAACTAACGTTTAATATAACAACAGAGCATTAGCGCTCCAAAGCAACAACTGTATCGAGGATTCTGTGAAGCCACATGGCACAAAGTGCTGATCTTTCATACAGGAGATTTTTCCATTTACATTTATTTAGAAGTTATTAATGGATCATCTCCACACCAGGAGGCCCACATTCAGACCAAGCCTAATTTGTGCTGCCCACTGACCTGGCAACATTCAGGCCTGGTACTGACGCCAGGTGCCAATCTTTCAACCTCTGTACTGATAGCAGATCACTTATCTTTACATCTTCTGTCATTGCTCTTTACACCCCTTTGCCCTGATACTACATGCACGAGCAGATCTCGTGTCCCTTTCACCCTCCTATCTAATTTTAACATCACAGTTTCTTTTTTATTTTTTTTTGTTTTGCATAACCGCTCCGTAGATACTTCACTATAATGTGCTCATGAACTAGTCACTCGACAATTAGTTTGTTTGATGAGGCAATCATACAAGGAGGTTAGAAAACACCTACTTAGATCTTAAATCATTCCATCATACAGTAATTTCATATTGTTCTATTGTTACCCATAACACTGTGCATTTGGGCTTTTCACAACAAGGACATCACCACCACACAAACAGATCAGAAAGCTTTCACTAATGTAAAAGCAACAGAACACTACAGACAGACACATTCTGCCGTAATCTCTGTAAGGAAAGCCCAACAGCAAAGCTCCTTTGAACTGTAACCTACTCGATGCACCAAAATTGACAGCATACCTCACCACTGATAAGGATCCACTTCCTGTGAAGTAGAAAACAGATGCAGCCGTGAATGGATTCCACCCCATGCCAGTAAGCGGCAGGTTTGTTAAGGGAGTTGCAAGAGTGAGCTTCTAAAAAGGCTTCTGTTATACTGGCAGTGTTTGACGAGTGTGAGAACTGTAAGAACGTCTCACTTCAGCAAGTAACAAGCTAACAAGGTGATTCATACTGGAATCATGCACACTGTAAGTATCTTCACAAGCTGTAATCAGAAAGCCTGTAAACTTACATTTTTCTTTACTGTATCTAGTTCATCATTTGACAGAGTATCTTCATTCAAACTATTAAAAAAAAACCAGATGCATGATACTGTGTGGTCAGAATCTGAGGCAGGGAAGCAGAGGAAGACTATTTATTGCATAAAAAAGAATGGATGATATTTGCTAAGGAAGGTCTCATTCAGTTTCTTCTTTAACGTTATTGATGGGTTTCAAAATTCAGAATTACTGAGAGCACTACAGGCTAAGAAGCCAGACAAGCACCATACTGGTCACCTGGCTGGTATTCCTTGCAAGCCTCACATGAAAGAACTTCAGGCTGTTTGAAGTAGTTAATTTCCACCTGTGGCAACATAAATAATTTTGGCCAACCTGTTCTCTCTCAACAATCTAGCAGAGACCAAACAGAATCTGCATTTATTTTCCCAGAGCATTTTAGTTGTAACTTCGAAGAAAACCAACATAACCACTTATCTAATAAATGAGACAACGAGTAATGTACAAGTAAGATGCCACCATTCATATTTATTGGCATCTGAGGAATGCACTAATTTAAGCCGACACTCAAAGACAAGTCTGAAAACGACACAGATTTTCCGCATTACAGCTGTTCAGGATTTTTCCTCCTAGCTAGGCTTTTTAGTTGTCAGGGCCAGGTATTCTTTTCTCAAGGGCTCCAAACAAGATCATGTTTTCTATACCTAGGGTTAATACAAATAATATGCCATCAGAGCGCTTAGTTAGGAGAACATATAAAGGAAAAAAGTTTCCATTTACACCCTCAGTGCTTTGGGATCACCAAACATCAAAAGGAGCAAGAACTTTTCTTATTTGTTGAGTCTTTAAATACAGTGCCCTGGCACAGCTAGATAAAATAAGACCATTCCTAAGCAAAGGATTGAACACAGATGAAGAATGAACAGGGTGTACAGTTTATAATTAAAGGAAACACCAAAAAAGCAGTTACAACTCACTCAATGGTTCCTGAGATATAATTACATATGAAGACATCAAAGAACAGAAGTGTAGAGCATTTAAAGATCAGCAACAGAATTTCTTCTCTGTTTCCACTTAAATGTCAAAAAATGAATGTCAAGTAAAATGACAGGATGTATAGCTAGCAGATACGTAAAAGAGAAACGTAAAACATTGAGAAAGATGTTATTTTACTTCAAGACTGAAGTTCAAACCCCTATTCTGCTTCTGACATGCTTGGCAGCTCTCGTAACACAGAGGGCACTGAAGAAGACAGTTATCAACACAGCTTTCCCAGCTGATACACAGAAACCTACCCTTAGCGTTTACTTGCTCATACTTTAAGATGGGCAAACCCAAAACTACGCAAACAAACCTCCGCTGTTCCAACCGAAAGTGAAACTCCAATTTCTAACACTGATGGCTAGTAATGAGAAATACTGACTGCTTTGTCCGATTTTGATCTAGGTGCATTCACACACAGGCGATGCTCTTCCGTCTGTAACACCAATATTTGAGAAGACTAAGTTCAGACGCAGTTATGGTTTCAGAATGCCACAAGATTTCCGTTTAGCTGTGGGACCTGCCCACACGCCAAGCACCTTTATCCTGACTGCGCCGAAATAGGGAGTGGAGGAACTAGGCCAACAGATTTTTCCTCCACACAGGGCACGCCTAATGGTAAAAAACCCCACTATCGGTCGTATTGCCTCACCTGACAGCTTCTACCCCACGTTCACCTTCGCGGGCAGGAGCAGCTACGCCGCTCCGACAAGGCGCAAGGGAAGACCCCCTGCTCGCTCGCAAGAGAAGAAAGGCCAGGAAACAACCCGGGGGGGCGCGGGGCGCCGCAGGGGAGTCCAGACGACGCCCGCC